AATATAAAATAAATTTTCATACCAAATAAGTCATTATAAAATAAACTTTAAACTTTTCTATATTATATGTATATCAATATGACAGTATATGACTATGTAAAAAAATTAACTAAGCAATTCACACTATAAGCAGCCATTAAATCTAGTAAATTCTAGGAAATCCAAACTTTTTCTATGTTAATTCAACCATAATCAAATTATTAAACTTCTTACTAATTCAACCTTAATCAAGTTATTAAACTTCTTACCGTTGGATGCCGAGAGGGAGTTCGGCACAGGCAGCAAGTAGAGGGAGTCCGGCACAGTATAGTGCAGCAAGCAGAGGAGGTCCGGCACAGTGCAGTGCAGCAAGGAAAGGAGGTCCGGCACAGTACAGTGCAGCAAGCAGAGGAGGTCCGGCACAGTATAGTGCAGCAAGCAGAGGAGGTCCGGCACAGTGCAGCAAGCAGAGGAGGTCAGGCACAGTGCAGTGCAGCAAGCAAAGGAGGTCCGGCACAGTGCAGCAAGCAGAGGGGGTCCGACACAGTTCAGTGCAGCAAGCAGATAGGGTCCGGCACAGTGCAGTGCAGCAAGCAGAGGGGAGTCGGGCACAGGAGCAAATCTGCAGAGGAGGTCCGGCACAGTGCAGCAAGCAGAGGTCCGGCACAGTGCAGCAAGCAGAGGTCCGGCGCAGTGCAGTGCAGCAAGCAGAGGGGAGTCCGGCACAGGAGCAGATCTACAAGCTGCAGCTAACAGCTTTGACAGCAGCTTTAGGAGCACATCTGCAGCAACAAGAAGGGGAGAGGAAGGTTGAAGGTGAGGTGAGACTTGAGAGGTTGATTGTTCGGCTGAGACCAAGAGTGAGTGAGGGATTGTGGCTGCGTGCGTGAGTGACAGAGTGAGGAGAAAATGCGGGGAAATGAATAAAGTTGAAGTTATGAAATTAGGGTTAGAACTTGTAAAGACTAAGGAGAGGATGCTGGAATGGATTGTTGGGTTGGCCGGATGGGTAACATGGGTTGGTCGATTGGGTTGGACTTGGATACTTGGGTTGGGTTGGATTGGGTTGGGTTGGGTTGGGTAAAATTTAATTTTTATTGAATTGGGTTTGGGTTAGATTTGGGTTAGGTTTGGGTTTTATTTTAAATATTAAATTGAATTAAAAAATTTTTTTTTTAATTTTTCGTGGGGATGGGGATCCTCGCAGGGCCCCGCGGGGCGGGGAAAATTCCCCGCGAAATTTCGCGAGGAGAAAATGCCCCCCATCCCCGCCCCGTGGGGAGGAATGTTCCTCCCCGTCCCGTCCCCGTGACGGGGATCCCCGCGGGGCGCCACAGGGATCGGGGGAAATTGCCACCCCTACCTACTCCCACACGTGGAAAGACCTCTTACACAAAAAATTCTACCAACCATAACAAGAACCAAATGAATGTCAAGAGTATTTCGTCTGAAAGATCAAGCACCTCCAATCTAGTTTTGGATAATGGATCCAACGACATTGACCACGCTCAATCATACATGGGATGTCTATCTGGTCAACAACAACAAAATCCTACGAATGGAAGATGCTCT